TAGGCTGTGAAATTATAACTGAAATTAAAACCAGAAATAAGAATAACGGCAAAATAAACAATCTGTAGTCAGGAAAACTACAGAAGAAAACATAAAAACTTCAGCGGCCAGCATACTAAAATGCAAAGCTAAGCAAGGACTAAGTTTTGCATAATGTAGGCGTATGCTTGCAGGTGAGGGAGACTTGACACTTTGTGCCAGGGAAGCAAAGAAAGTGTGGAATGAATTATAATGAAGCTGCATGTCATTAAGTCAATAGTTGGACCTGTGACCCCCTCTCTAATTTCTTTCCCTGCAAATCAGTGCTGCTGAAATGCAGAGAGGAAAAGTCCTTTTCTTGGGTACCATTTACAGCCTAAGACTGCGGCAACACTAGCATTTCAGAGTGAGGAAATAAGGCGCCCACAAAGCAGCCCAGAGAAGTTTTGGGTGGGAATTGCAATTGTGAAATCATCAGGTCTCTACAAATGCTCATACTTTGGAGCTACAAAACACTGCCCTGCCCAAGCCCACAAGAGTGCACCTATGTACTTCTCAAGGGGGATTCATTGGTGTCCCCACTATTTCTAGAAGAATCAAAGGGGAATCCGTTATAGCATTTTCTTATATGGGACAATGTTATTTCATTAGATTGGATCCAAAGTCAGCATGCCTGTAGACCTAGAAACTGTGTGAAGAGCCCTTTGTTCCCAATGATCTCTCACAAGGGAGAGACCTGTTCCTCCCTGTCTTGGTTAGCTGCAAGCCTTTGCCTATTCTTTGCCAGTTAAGAGTACCTAACTATCAAAAAATTAAAATAAAATAAAATATAAGCAGAGGTAACTGACCACAACTAATATGAGCTAAACTGGAGATATTAATTCCAGTTGGAAAACATTTATTTTCATGCATTATAACAAATACGCTGTGGGATATCAATCATGCCTAATGAATAACAGAGAGGTCTCCAAACTTGGCAACTTTAAGACTTGTGAACTTCAACTCCCAGAATTCTCCAACCAGCTATGTCAAAAGTTGCCAAGTTTGGGGACCCCTGGAATAACAGAACAACAGGATGAGTTGGAAGGGACCTTGGAGATCTTCTTGGAGTCCAGGGATTCCCAATCCCTGGGATGTGGCCCACTACTGGGCCATGGCCCTTTTAGAACTGGGCCACAGAAATGGCCGGGGATCACATGTACGCATAAAGCTCCATTTGGGCGAGTGGTGCTCAAGCAAGCCCACCACTTGTGCAAATGGAGTTAGGCATGTATGCACTCACCCACTGCTCACACAGAACCATCCCCTCTCCCACCATGCTGGTCCACAAAGTTTGAAAGGTTGGAGATTGCTGTTCTAGTACAACCTCATCTCAAGCAGGAAACCCTATACCATTTCAAACAAATGGTTGTCTCTTAAAAACTTCCAGTGCTGGAGCACCCACAACTTCTAGAAGCAAACATTCCACTGATTAATTGTTCCAATTGTCAGGAAATTTCTTCTTAGTTCTAGGTTGCTTCTCTCCTTGATTCATTTCCATTACTTTTTGTCCTGCCTTCAAGTGCTTTGGAGAATAGACCTCCTCTTCTTTGGGGCAACCCCTTAGATATTGGAACACTGCTATTATGCCACCCCTAGTCCTTCTTTTCATTAAATTAGACCTACCCAATTCCAGCAACCGTTCTTCATATGTTTTAGCCTTCAGTCCCCTAATCATCTTTGTTGCTCTTCTCTGCACTCTTTCTGGAGTCTCAACATCTTTTTTATATCGTGGCAGCCAAAACTGGATGCAGTATTCCAAGTGTGGTCCTACCAAGGCATTATAAAGTAGCTATTAACACTTCATGTGCTCTTGATTCCATCCCTCTGTTTATGCAGCCTAGGACTGAACTATTGGTTAATTATCTTCAGACATTAAAATGGGTACCTTCAATCTGTTAGTAAAAAGGCAAAAGTAAGTAGCAGATGCTACCAGCATTAAGGGCAAGACAGAGAGACAGGGAGCAGGATAGCATATGGCCATGAGAATTTAACCTCACATGACTGCATCAGAACAAAAATCAGATTGGGCAAAGGGATCAAAGTGTTAGAAATAATGCCTTATCAGAAAGAACAAGCCTTGCAAAAATGCAACTGCAAATTGATGGCAATTGGAGCGGGGAATCAGAAAATGGGGATCAAATGGAAAGTTAAAGATGCCTCTTTCCCCCCATATGCAGAATTTTTACTTATCAAGGAGTTCAATTCAAATTTCATGCAAGACTCGTCCTGTGGTTTGAGGCTACCTACCTGTTTCAATGTTTCATTGCTATTATTCCTAAAGGGTTCATCCCAGAGGTGGTATTCAGCAGGTTCTGACCAGTTCTGGAGAACCGGTAGTGGAAATTTTGAGTAGTTCAGAGAACCAGCAAATACTATCTCTGACTGGAGATTTTACAGTATCCTTCCCCTGACACACCCACCAAGCCACGCCCACAGAACTGGTAGTAAAAAAATTTGAATCCCACCATTGGTTCATCCCAATGTGCCCCCCAATCACTGGTTCTAATGTTCAAAATGACATGCAGGACATTAAAAATCTAATTCCACACTTTCAGGTAAGGAACTCGTCTATGACAGAAATGTAGTCCAAAATCATAGGCATGATTCTGACAGAAAATTCTACTCTCTCAATATATCACAATAGCAAATGGAAGACATTTCATGTGATATTATTGTTACAAAACTGATCCTATACCACAAAATAACTTGTACTTTAAACTACTGATTTAACATCCAGAGATAAAATTTTAAAAGGGGAAGGAAGGAAGTGGAGGACAGCATTAAAATGGCATCTGATCTAGTTTAATTTTGCTCAGCTGTCCAGCACTGAAAAGAATACACTGAAGTTCACAGAAAGTCCTTCAACGGTTCAAGGATAATTGAGGGCCTAAATATTGCTTTGATCAAGGGAACATCATGATGGAAACCAAAAGGATTAATAGTAAAACATAAAAAAACGAATAAGGTACTATTATATAATATTAATGTATTAACCAATGGGGTACTCCTTCTTCCCCAGAAGATGGAGAAGGAAATAATAGGGACTGTTGATTCCCATTAATTTGAGAGGGAAAGGTTTAGAAGAAAACCGTTCTGTTTTACATGATGGGTGCCAATTGCCCTTGCCATCAACTCTCTGTGGAGAATTAAGGTTTTTGCTCTCGTGCACTGAAGGTACCGTTATTTTGTGCCTGAATTCCCTTCTCTCGCTCTCTTTCCTCCCCCATCCCCACCTGCTCACAGACAAAGTGAAAGCTGAAGCATAACAAAAGAAGGTCAATGCAGGCATGGGAGTGGCAGATGTGCTCATGGACCACAGAACGCTGTGATAGCAATTGGTGTTGCTTCTAGTACTTACCTTGCTCGCTCAGCCCCTGGTGGGAACCCGAAGCTAGTTGGAGTAGGGGAGGGAGTAGCTGAAATGTCAAGAGATTGCTCAGGAATTGGTGACTGAGGAGTAGCTGCAAGTTCACAAGGTGGAGCAGGGGGCTGCATGGCAGGAGGGGTGGAGGATGCCTTACGAACTATGGAGGGGCCTCTGCGAGCCACCCAAGAGGTGTCCATCACCCGGACGCCCATGCTAGTGGGGGGAACACAGAGATACACCCTTACCATCTTGAAAGCAGTAAAGTATAAAACACGTACACACACGCGTATGCACACACACACACACACACACACACACACACACACCCCAGTAGAAAGAAGAGGAACCCATCTGGGTGCACCTAGGCCTGTAATCCTGAACAGACTCCCTTTCCGTGCGGTGCTATGTACAGACAGGATGAGAGGGAGCTGAAAACATGGAATGCAGACATCATTTAGGCAGGGAGAAACCCATTGCTTTGAAATTCCACGAAGTAGTCCCTCAGTGTTAAAGAAAGCATAAAAAAAGGCATGCCTTTTTATGAAACTCCCTTCCGAGGCCTCAAAAAAGGCCTGGTTTTGGCTACCTCCAATCTTTTGATATAGAGAGAAAGGAGCAGTTTGGCCATGTACTGTTCATAAATATTCTTTAAGCCAAGAAACTTAATGCCACTTTTGTCTGTCTGTCTGTTTGTTTTCAGGACATTGCTTGGTGAGGTTAAAAATTCAGGGAAACCCTTGCAAACACTTGCATGAGAAACTTCAAAAAGCAATGATCTTTTAAGGATAACAACGTTTTACAGCTACAGAGGGTTTTCCAGAGTAACAGCAAGGAGCCTGTGTATGAAGAAAAGCTGCAACTCTGAGAATAAAATTCTGACCAAAAGTAAACTTCGGGGAAACAATTTTTTATAATAATGTGCAGCTGCCCATACATTCCAAAGAGAAAGGAAGATGTCTTTTCCAGTGGAAATTAATGGCATTGCAGGAAACCGGAAAGGGCCAAGGCTCAGTGACTGGAGCACATGCTTTGCAGGCATGAAGGCCCTGGGTTCAGTTCCCATCGTCATAATATATATCCTTGGCAGCAGGGATGGGAATGGGAAAGGCCTCTGTTGTATGATCTTATGGTGCCTTTGCCTCTAATGTGAAGTAGCTCTGTATGTCCAAACATTCGCTCCATTCCAGGGAACTAGATGCTGGCTTTTATGCTGCTTTGCCATGACTCTCAGTCGGGCAAAAGAAGGCTTGGTCTACCAAGGCCCTGGGTGCTCTGAACAGGCTGGGTTTGAATACTGAAAAAAAAGGCATGGTCCAAGAGCTACCCAGAAAATACTGTACCTTTGGATTTTCCTAAGGCTGCATGGACAAAAACACACAGACATTAGTGTAACACAAACTAAGGCCAAATGGTTCTCCTTCTGCATCAGCGGTGGCTATCTATTGGGGGAGGGGAGTGATAAGCCAGTGAAGGTAAGAGGACAGCTTGAGAAAAGCCTGGGAATCAAGTCCCTCCAGCTGCAGAGTAAAGGAGGAAGCAGGGTGTTTAATGGAAAGAAGAACCAGAGAAAATGGAAGGATTCTGGGAAAACAATGAGCCACCCCCCCCTTCCCCGCTCCAATTCTCCCTCAGAATGTTAAGAGAAGCAGAATCGAGCAGATTACAAGGATCATATCCTTGCTGGGTCTTGTGAGGATAGGGAGCCAGAGGATCTATAGGATGGATGAATACATGAATGAAATGGAGATGTGTCACAATTCCTGTGTGGTTCTTCTCTCTGGATCAAAGGAGTTAGATTTTGTCCTTGGCAGCTAACGTCAGATGTAAGGACAATACTGGGAAGCTATTTGTGCACATGGAAAGCTTTAAGAGTCAGCCTATCGTCTTTTTCTCTCTCTCTCAAGCTAATTTGTACTCTGCTTGTTTGGGTTCCTCCCATCACAATCCTCTTGGGACATCTGGGAAATGCTTTGAATATAATTTCTCCCATATTTGTATAGCCAAGGATAGAATAGAGTTCTGTGACAGGGTATTATGTCATGAAAAAGTTAAAAACATATATTAGTATTTCTGCCCATGCCTCACTAGTTTTATGTACTGAAGCCTTGGCTTAATATATAAAAACAATAGCCAATAGCTAGAAGCAGGATAAGAACAATACATGACAATTCTCAACAGACTTGGGATAGATTAGTTAGATAGATAGTTGACGATAAACTGGCCTGGACATTTTTGGCTAATGATAGGAAGAGCTTATATGTGGGATATTAGCTATCCATGTTTGCTAGTTGACTATTTTATCATTCAATGTGATGTGCAAGTGTAATTGGTAACGTATACATATAACACATTCTTCTCTTGATGATCCCTCAAAATCAATTTAAGTCACAGAAGAAGTTATTAAGGCTCAGGCCTAGCTTTCAAATGGCAATATGTGGAAGGCTGCTCAGAGTCACTCCTACGTATCCTGTCTGACAATGTTTCTCACAGTAATGAGAGCTAATACATACAGTAGCTGGTGCACTGGTGGCACAAATCTGGCAGTCAATGTGATCCTATCTAGGGGAGGCACAGTTGCTGCTATTAAGTAAAAGAGATGATGGCAGTGAAGAGGCTTAATGTTGGGTTTACTTTCCACAATCTCAGTGAATCAATTAATAGATTTTTTGTTGGTTAGTAGACTGCTCAAGAAATCAGATATTTCAAACTAAGCATCATGCTCAATGGCCTACTTACTGAGTTGGCAAAGCATTTTGAGGGCTAAGCAACACAGATTTACTTCAAATTAGAGAGCCTAGTTTGTCCAAACAGAGATCATTCTGCAGATCCACAGAGTTGGGAGATCAATTTCAATTACTTACAATTACTTCCTGCTATCAGATTCAGCTCAGGCTGTTAGATTATATAGGAAGGAGCTTTGTTATTCCATATTTTAGAGATATCGATGGCATGGTAGTTTTAGAAAATTATTTTAAAAATGCAAAACTTTTTCAAAGAGCCTTTAAGTTAAGATCACCTTTGCCTCTTAGTGTTTCTTCTACTTTGATTTTTTTTGTTACTTAGTTATTAAAAGTTTTGTTATTGGACTGTGCATTGTTTTAATCCTGTTGCTTTTATTGGGACCACCAAGAGTCACAAGATTGTGATAGATTAAAAGAATGAATGAATGAATGAATGAGAAGTATACAAGATGGATAAGAATTATTATGCCATCTTTATTAATAAGAGCAAGCAATTAACTGAACAGGAATGTTAATGATTCTTTATGCAATGGAGAGATGCTAACCAAAAGAGGTGGGTACAATTTTTTTTGAAGAAGACCTTCCTGGATGCTGAGTAAATAGTACTCAGTAGTGATCATTCCTTTGTAAATAGATATATGTGACAATTTGTGCACGGTTCTGAGATTCCTTAGAAAAAATGAGTGATGTATATCCATTATGGTATGATATGATATGACTACATTATTCAAGCTGAGTTCCACTCCTGTAGTAGGATTAAAATGGCTTGCCATTACCTCCTTCTGAGATTTTTTTAAAATCTCAATCTTGCCTATGTTCTTGGCATTTATTACTTAATGTAGTTGTTAACTATCAGTAGTAGCAGTAACAGTAGTAACAAAGGCCAGTCTACTTAGCTTCTGAGTCCAGACAAAGTAATCCATGTGCTAGCACATTCTAAGGCAACAACAAATGATGATAATTTGTTTTGTTTTAAGAGTAAAGCCAGTTACCAATCTCCTAGAATATGGAAATGTTTGCTATATTTGTTGATCTTTGTACAAATGCATGTCACTGTTAGACAATGAATGTTCATCAATATCCATAGGTTAAACTGGATAGTTGCTGCATAGGGAACCAAAAAACCTTTCCATTCTTGTTAACAAGCCTGGATAGCATAAGTCTCCAGAACTATTGCTGCCTCCCAGCACTATGGTGCATTCACATGCCAAGCTAAAACATGATTACAATAAGTTTATGCTACCATGATCTAATAGAATAGTATAATTTCTGAATGCAGGGTTCAGATGCTCAAGCCAAAGACATTTGATGTCCTCTTGCATTCCTTATGGCAGTAGGAAACACATGATAAGAATTAAGCATCCTTGGCTAAATTGTCATAGAACAAGGGGATGGTGAAAACAGGATCTTATAAGTATCACAGTGACCAGGCTTACTTCTTCATCAATGCTTGTACTTGTCTTTTACTACTAATTAATCTTGATGGTAACATAAGAAAGGTAGTTGATGATGGCAAACTATCAATCATGGAAGAAATTGCTTTGGGAATCTCCTAGCACAGGGGTGTCAACTTGGTGGCCCGCAGGCCAATGCGTCATGCACAGGCCATGCCCACTCTGGCTCTTCAAAGGCAAAAAACATCATAGTACATCACATGACATGATCCAGTTTGACATCCGTGTCCTAGCAGAACTTCTCTCAATCCTTTAGGATAGAGATAAGAAGACAAGATTGTGATCAGATGCATAATTAATTTAGTTTTTAGTTCACTCATTGTGAATCTCATTGTACACATGTTGTACTCTGACAATAAAGATAATAATAACTAACAGACAGATAGCACAACTTTCCTCTGGAAAAGTTGGCCAACGCAGGATGACTTTCTATATGTCATATAGACATATAGGATGTCTCTCTATATGTTAGAGTAAGCACAATTGGCACATAACGTTTGGCCTCATAGATCACTGCCCTGGCTTCTGCCAACTTACCAAAACTTTCTCACCTCACTTGTCCAATAGAACAAATATCACAAGCAAAGGCCAGAACTACCCAGGCAGTTAGGCAGTTAGGCAGGCAAAATAGTATATTTCCTTTCAACAGGCCACAAGTCTCATGCCTGGGGATGGAAGAGGCACTTAAGAGCAGGGTGAGATGTTATGATAAGGAGATGAGGCACCTGCATTCCTTGAAAACATAGCCAATATTTCACCTAGGAAGTAGCACTCTGAGCCAACATAGCTTCTTCTAGCTTGCACCCCAGATTGTCCCCATACTCCTTTCACAACAAAGCAAAAGAGTTCCTACCCATCCTTTTTGTAGAACTCAAGCATCATGTTGTCTGTGGCCACACTGAGTGGTCGTCGGGTCTGATCAGAGTGCTTGTGGTCGGAGTGATCCATATCAGGTGATGGCATAGAATTGTAGTTTGCATTGTGGTTCACATGCACAGGGCTTCCATAGTTCCCAGTCAAGTTGAATTCAATGTCTAATTTGGACAGAAAGCAAAATAGTTATGCACTGCAGGTGTTGCAAACAAAGGCCTAGCATGGACTAGCTTCTATTTCAGAGAAGAACCTCATCCCAGTAGGAAAGAGTCTCTCTCACACACACACACACACTACCACCACATATGGGAAGGCGAACTAGCAAATTAATATGGGACTTATCAGGTGATAGTACTTTTCAAAAATTAAACACATAGAGAAGACATAAAACTACATTATCTTGGATTGCCAGCAGCTGGTTTCACAATTCTTATTTTTATATTATTTTTGTATTGTAGCCTTAGACATTGTGGCCTAATTGTTAGAGAGGTACCGGTCATCTAGGAAAGAACAGTAGGTAGTAATTGAGAAAGAGCTGCACAAGCAACCGAAGTGATATCTAACTCTCACTACTAGCCTATCATCTGCACCTCTATAACTCTCTGGTTTGGTTCTGTAACCCAACAAGACAGACACAGACTTCAGAGGATAATTAGGATTGAAGAAAAAACAATTACTACCAACCTGCCTTCAATCAAGGACTGTATAGTGCGTGAGTCAAAAAGAGGGCTGTGAAAATATTTACAGACCCCTCACATCACAGAAATAAACTGCTTCAATGTCTACCGTCAAAACGACACTATAGAGTACTGCACACCTAGACACAAGGAGTTTTTCCCTGAATGCCATCACTCTGCTAAACAAATAATTCCATCAACACTGTCCAACTATTTACAAAGTCTGCACTACTATTACTATTAATCTTCCCATCACTCATCATCCATCCCCTCCCGCTTGTGACTGTATGACTGTAACTTTGTCGCTTGTATCCTTACGATTTAGATTAACTGTTTCCTAGAATGATTTGATGGCTGATTGTACCCTATGACTATCATTAAGTATTGTACCTTATGATTCTTGACAAATGTATCTTTTCTTTTATGTACAGTGACAGCATTTGCACCAAGACAAAGTCCTTGTGTGTCCAATCACACTTGGCCAATAAAGAATTCTATTCTAGCCCTGGTGTGGTCTGGCTCTGGTTGACAGAGGCATCCAAAAAGAGTAGATGGAAGAAAAGTTTCCTACCTCCAGGAAAAAACCAATCGGCATGCTGGATAAGGGGTTCAATAATTGCAACTATCTGTAGAGAGACTGTTGCCATCATCTCTGTGATGTTTCTGAAATGAAGGAAGAGATCCACAAGGACAAAGTCATGAGAATAGTGGGGTCAAATTCTTTTGAGCACCACAGTGAACTAAATGACAGAACTGAAAGACTGGAACAACTTGAAAATCTGCTGCTTCTAATTTCAAATTAGCCTGCTTTGCATCCCACTTCTACTGCACTCTTTGCCTTGTGCCATGTCCCATTCCCTAAAACAAATGTTAGGCATATTAAACCATTAACATACAGCAATTTGATCAAAGTATTCCTGTTAAAATCAACATCTGCAAAGTATAGTAAATAAAATGTTGTCCCAGAGTTCACATGCTTAAGTTATAATACGTAGCATTTTAAAACAGCAAAGCCTGAGACTTCAACCTCTTACCCTTCTGTCTGAGGCCAGAGGAGATTTGGCCCCAGCACAATGGCTATGTTGCTTGGTGTCATTTTGTTTGCATCTTGGTATTCAGTTAAATTTGCAAGGAATTTGATCAGGTACCTGCAGTGAGACGAAATCAAGTTAAAATTGAAGTGAAAAAAAAATATAGGTGCGAGGGTAAAAATCCTTGAACTCAGTCTCGTTAATTTTATTTGCTAAGATGCCACCAACCAAATTCTTTAGCTAAGTACATGAGATAAAAAAGGAATAGATAACTCAAATATCACATCCATTTTCAGAAAAGAGACCAAGATATTCCTCTATACTGGAACACCCTCTTCTGCGAGAGGGAATAATGAAGAAAATGACAATATCTTGATCTGAGAACCATTTAAAAACTGAAATGATGAAGGTCCTCAGGAAATGTAAAATTCCTAGAAATTTATGTATTTATCCCTCAATAATATTTGAAGTACCCCATAGGAATTTAAAGTAACATTGATACAAATTGTTAGTATTCTGGACCAGGTCCGAGTTTTAACACTTGGCAATTATCTTAGGTAACTTGGCACTTGGAAGCACCTGTTATGGCTCTATAGAAAGCTGACAGAATCTTTTAATATATTGTATAAGGTAAAGGTGGACCAAACAGTGGCACTCCCCTGGGTCTTCAAAGAAGCATGCATAATTTAAGCCTTTTACTTTTCTACTGCTTTGGAAAACAATCGCTAGAACTTATATTGATTAACTTGTTAGATTGTATACTTATTAAATGTCAATTTGTGTCTTCATTTATTGTGAGAAAACATTAAAATGCCCCTCCCCCAATTGGTCAGATGTTCACTTTTACAAAAGGATATCAAAGTTTTCAGTTATGACTGCATCATCCACATAATTGAATTTTTCTTTCGGATAATTTTAGGGCAGGGATATTGAGGAAGTGGACAGATCTTACTAGAGTGTGACCCCATCTTCTCACATTGCTTATGTATCTAAAGAAGGAGGCATCTATCAAGTTACTCAAAACTGCCTTTCTGTGCTTCTTACTGAGTCAAATACTATTTGAAAATCAACAAACATTGACTATAACTCTGAATGTGACTGTTGGATGTATTTTTCAGCAAGGAATTATAATCCCAGGAAATGATTAAATTGTTGATCTATCCACCTGGAAGCCTACTTATTTGGGTTCAATGATGTCCTTCTCAATAACTCACAATTACATATCATATCAGCTTTCCACATTCAAAATATTTCCTATTATAGTGGGGTTAAATGCAAGATGAACTCTACAAGATTCTTCAGACTGTAGCAGAACAAAATGGCTGCTGATCTACAAGGAGGAAATAGATACTTCTGTTATCCTTCTATCTTGTGTCAGATTTAATTCAGATGGATCCTATGTTTATCCCCACATTTGGATAAAAAGGTCAACATTTTCTGATAGTATACAAGTTGTTCCTACACTAGTTAAGGCCCCTACCTGAGAGCTATTTAATTAAAATGAGGATCTCTCAAGGGAAGGGTTGTGCTAATAAGTGAAGGAAGTGTTGTGTTTCTACTATGAGTGTGTTATTTTGAGATGCTAGAACAATCTTGTAAACTGAAGCTTACTTTTCCTGCTTAGTGCTGGTAGTGGGGCTTTCTTGAAGGGTAGGCCATGAGGACAGTTCTCCTATTTCTCCAGACTCCATGTTTATGGCCTCTGACAGCAGAGTGAATTCTTCTACAACTGGGTTAATACTAGAGCACTTCCTCTCAATGAGTGGGAGCATCTCACATATTAAAGCTATTCTTCATGGGTGCAGAAGCTGGCTTGTTTAGCCCAGGGGAAATATCCCCTTCATATACAAGTAAAATAATGTTAAATGAATTAGCAGCTGAAAATGCTGTTCGCAACCTTGATCTAATGTCCTCAATATTTTCTACTATATGTCCCTGCTTTTCCTAGAAAAGCAATTTAGGGTATTGGAGTGGCTCACTTTTTTTTTCTTGCAGTCTTGAGCAGTCATCTGAAGATTCATTACATAGGACAGGGTTACCATGAGGGCATTATCGTTCTCTCTTGCTTCTGGCTGGGACACTTCCCAAAGCTTAGCAGAGGTTATGTACAACTATCTTGAAATAGTCTTGTGGCAACTTACCAAATTTCATACTAAACTTTAAGTTGAGGCAAAACTGATTATTTAAAAGTTGGCACTAATGTCTTATGACCAGGGTGGGTGGCCAGGAAGCCATGTTATATCTCTTATTTCGTTTGGACTTATTCTGTATTTGAGAAGCTGGGAGAGAGATTTCACTATAGCCTATTTTATGTTTCATCGCTTATTAATATGAATCATGGCAACATACAACATTATTTTTTTTAATTGTTTCACCTTCACATATGTTTCACTTTGTCCTTTCATGCTAAAGTTTGTATTCTGCTTGTTTTTCTGTCTAGAGATGAGATGTGGCACAGATAGTCCTTGCTTAGTCACAATTTAAAGTTACAGTGGAACTCCCCAAGGGTACTTATGACTTGGTTCCAAAATTCCAACAGTAGCACTTCCCTGAGGTCACATGACCACATTTTGTATGCTTGACAGCTAGCTGGTTGCAGCATTCTATGAATTATGATGCCTGTTTTTTGGCCAGAAACTGGATATTTTTGCCCAATTTCTGGCAAAAAATGCCTATAGGAATGTATTGACTCACTTAACAATTGTGGCATTCACTTAACAATTGCTGCAAAAATGTTCATAAAATTGGGTTGATCATGAAGGTAACTCAACTTACAACCAGCATGACTTAGGACAGAAATTCCAGGCTCTGTTATGGTGAGGCGGGGACTACCTGTACTGTTATCTATATGAGGACTTCCTTTTGTATTACACTCCATATTAGCTGTTATGTCAGTTGCTTCAGACTTTAAAGTTTTTTTTTCTATTAAAGATTTTAATTCATCTAACTTTCTTGTTGGCATCAGACAGCAGTTCGAAAATAGATATAATTGTGTGGGCAGTAAGCAAACAGGTTTTTTTTTTGAAACCAGGGACAAATCTATACTACTTCCTAGCAGGTTGTCAGTTGCGTCACACGTTATTTCACTCTCAAGCTTGTGATCCAGATTCTTCTCCTTCACTTCTCTCTCCCACAGTTTCATCATTGGATTTAATGGGTTGAGAGAGGAGGAATCGCTGCAGCCTAGACAGTGGTCTGACATGAGAGAGTCCAAAGAAGGAATGGAGATGGTGAAAGCAGAAGGGACCTTCCCTAGTTATTTGGAAAATAAATGCAAGGGAGAGGGGAAATGCTTTCAGAGTTACAAGATACAGTTTATGTAACTTACAATAAAGGGAATCTTAGTATTCATGATTTTGGTCCTGTCTGGACTACATTGAAGGGCTGAGGTTGGATGATAGTAACTTATCAGATTCTCAATCTAATAAGATATAATCTTTATTAACTATGGGTACAAGGGACAAAGAGGATTCAGTTGTCATCCCTATTCTAAAATTCAGCTGCTTGTGAGTTGTTTTCTCAAGTGTTGTGTTCCTCCTTCAGCTTCCATACTTTGTAATGTTGCTGTAATTATGCTTGTCAATTACAATTGATTTTGCTTCTTATATAATTTAGGATCAATATTGAGTTTTGAAGTTTAGGTACCTTCAATCAACAATATGCTAACTGAGTAAATAAAATGAAGATGCAAAAATAAAATAAAAATAAAGTAAAATTGAATACATAACTGATATGTCAGTTATTAGAAATAGGGAAGTCATGAACAGCTCACCTAGCATTCTGCTTAGTAAAATATGCTTCTTCTGTTTGAAGAAAAAATGAATGAGTAACTCTTGGAACCTTGATAGGAATAAGGATACCTTCTTCCATAAATAAAAGATAGAACTGGAATCAGATCTGATGAAATAATAGCACCTTGGTATATTGGTCCTCTATCTTTTGAAAAAATTGGATGAACTTCAAAATCAAGAGCATGTGCAACCTAACCATTCACTCTACAATTGGAGACATTTTGAAGGAAAGCTAGAGACATGGTCTCCAACCTGAGTAATATTGAATATGTATTATGATCAAATTTAGAGAGACAAACACAATGCGATGATTGAGGTGGATCCCAAGGTTTAATGATATTGGATAAAATCTGAGGCCTCCAGCAAATCTGGATCTATCTGATTAAGACCACAACTGTTCTTTGGTCAAGGGCTATATTAGGCTGGAGAGTTGTTTCAAAGAAGCATTTTGGAAGAGTAAAGAGTCATAAGGATGTTTACAAATGATGTTCATTACATGATTTCTCAAATACATGATTAGGTGGCAGAATTTGAGATGATGGAATAGAAAACCAATAGATGTAATGGTCCTTGACTGTATCTTGAATCGTTCATGGGAAACTTCCTCAATGCTAGTAATGAGCTGAACATCCTGTTGGCCTTAGAGAATTCAATGGAGGCCATTGTCCATTCAATCTATTCGATTGATCTCTTGAAAAGATGAAGGAGTTACCATACATGGATTGGTGTGGAAGAGAAAACTATAATGCTTTTAGAGTTTGCTGATCTTAATGTGACTCATAAAGGGGAAAAAAAGAATTGTGTGATTTCATTTAGTAAAAACACTGTGTTGCTTATGATTGTCTAGTGAATAACTTTACAAGGTCAAATAAATACACTTAATGCATGCCTAAGTTTGTTGGCATTTTCAGAACAGTCTCTTATAGCCATATGGCTGAACATCTGCAGAGCCAGAACGAGGTGTCCTGATGAACAGCTCTAAAGAACTGTGAAGAAGAGTTGAGATGATTAAAGAAAATAAGAAAAAAAGAACACAAATAAACAGAAGGATGATCAGTTCCAGGTTGGATGTGCCAACTGAGTGATAGCTGAAAACAAGACACACGGATTCAGTGGAAGCCACATGTGGTAAAATGGCTCCTACCAAACCATTCTGGAAAATCTACAAGATTCAAAATGGGGTTTGGCATAGGTATATGGTTGTGACTCATATAGATCACAGTGAAGAAATCTAACAATGCCCAATAAATACATTTACTTGTGGGTGCCAATTTCATTCAATACAAGGAGTGATATGTTGTGCACCTTTTGTATTTGTGTGTGATCCAAAAGGAATGCATTAATTGTAAATGTTGCCACTTTCATGATGGCACTCCTCATGTAATGCCTTTCAAAAGGCTGTTAAAGTCAGTTTGTTTCATTGAGCTTTTGATAGGACCTAGGCTGCCACTAGAACTTTTCTTAGAATCCACTCCATGGTATTCGATTTTCTACTATGAAGTGCTGAGCCCTTAGAAGTAGGACAATATTTAAATACTTGTAGAAATAAACAAGCTAACCAAGCTGTTAAATCACAAGGCCTGTCAAACAAATGAATAAAGGGGCTTTAGTGAAAAGAATACAGAAGAGAGACTTGAGACACAGCAACCCTCACAACCATTGCAACCTTCTCTCTGAGGCTTCCTGTTCCACTTTCACTTCTTTCCCCCACTGCCTCCTAAGAAATGAGTCTGGCTGGCAATTTATTGAAAAGAGAGGGAGAGGTTAGTTCTTTATTAGAGGTCAAAAGAGATAAATTCTTGGACCAACCTGGAAACCCTAGCCGGTTTGTAGGACAAACCATGTGAGAAAATATATATCTAGCACATGAGACAGATTACTGTTTAGTCGAACAAGTTAAAAATCTTAGTAGATACATTTGGGTAGTCTTTTATATTGATTTTTGAGCTATGTTTGATTTCTTTTCCTGGTCTGGAAAAAGTAATTCTGCTATGATGATAGTAAAATGGGAAGTGCATGGAACGAACGAAAAAACAAAACAAACAAACAAACAACATAATAAAGTTCTGCAAACTTCTGGATTGGCTATGCTGACCTCCTTAGTGTTCCTTTTTCTCTGACTCTAGCCAAGTATCATAAAGGGATTTTGAGGTAGAATACTTTCCCCCATGACTAGTAAAATCAATACAAAACCATATTCATCAGTTTGCATACACCTGCCTTAGATTATTGTAGCTGGCCTTAGGCAATTTCTCAAGGGCATTCCATAGTGCTTGCAATCTCTTGTCTTGGTCCTGAATGCTAAAAAGAAAGAATAACTGAGATTAATTCAATAGCAAGGTAGGTGAGAGGGGTAGCAAATAAATCCAATAAACAAATAAAACTGAAAATAAACAATAAAATATCGAACAAAATACAACAAGGTCATTCTGATTAAACAAAAAAGTAGAATTTCAGGCTGTTTCCTCTGCATCTGTCTTTCACAAAAATCAATAGAGTTTATTCCCAAATAAATCTCTGCAGGGTTGCCATTTTATTCATATTCTAATTTGACGTGGGAGACAAAACTTTAGAAGACAGGGAAATCTGGCTATATGAAAAATTGTTTCAGGAACTCACTTAGAGGCTTTAATCCACTCTTCATAAAGTTCAAAGGTCATGAGTGGTTCTGGCAACTCTCGAAGATAGGACTTCAGTGCCCCTATAGAAGAAACACAAAAATACAGAAAGAACTACTTCTTGTTTCAAATGTCCATCTTTTTCTATCCTTCCTTTGGCCTTGGGCTATACTAGCAAAAAAGAGTAAAATTTTGTAAATCATCCAGAGAGTGTTATACTATGGAATGATATATAACTCTAAGTCAGGGCTGTCAAACTTGCGGCCTGTGGGCCGGATGCGTCACGCGCTGGCCACGCCCATGCCTGGTTTAGCAAAGGGGAAAAAAAGTTGCAATACGTCACGCGATAACACCATGACAATGCTAGTTTCACACCCCTGCTCTAAGCACTATTGCTATTAACAGGCTTAAGAGTATACCATTAAATAAATAGAATTCAAAAGAGGGAAAATGTTTTAAGGTCTTTGAATCAATCACATCATTTTCATTAGACATATGTTTTTAGGGGGATTATGAGAATAGATACAAGCAATCATCGACTTACAATCATTTGCTTAGTGACTGTTCAAAGTTACAAAGCCATCAAAAAAAAAAGTGACTTACAACCAGTTCTTGTACTTATGTCTACTGCAGCATCCTCACAGTCACATGATCAAAATTTTACTGCTTGGCAACCAGCATGTATTTACAATGGTTACAGCATGTGATTCCATTTGCGATCTTCCCAGCCAACTTCTGACAAGCAAAGTTCATGGGGAAGCTGGATTCGTTTGACTGGATGATTTACTTATTAACAACTGCAGTGTTTCACTTAACAACCATGCCAAAATAGAGGAGGTTGTAAAATCAGACATAACTTACTTACCAATCATCTTGCTTAGCAACAAAAATTCTGACCTCAATTGTGGCTGTAAGCTGAGGACCACTGTAATATCTGGTCCAGTATTATAACTAGCAAATACAAGAATGCAAGCATACAAAAAGAAGGCATTTGTTCTGTAACAGTGGAATGTATCAGTAGATAGGGAGAGAGCAACAGCTACCGTGTCTGGTAATTGTTGAAATTAGCATACATTGAGCAAGTCAGCCACTTCTCCATATCATAAACTGGCCAGCAGTGGTTGTCTTTGGTCTGCATTTCCCACAGGAAGTGCCTTCTCTGGTCCAAATTCTTGCATTTATTATGAAGACCATCCGATATGCTAAAGAGTGATACCCTACCTGCAATGGCATGGGGGTCTGCTGAATATTCCTGAACATCCACAACACAGCAGTCTAATGCTGCTTTAAGCTTCTTTAATTTGGAAGCAGAGGGGGCCACTCGAAACAGACCCTGCAAACCAAAAAGAAGCAAAATAAAATCTGATGAGGTGCCAAGCTCCATGAACACACACTTGGGCCCATATGGTATGGGCTCTCTGAAAACAAGAGAATGAATTGTTTTCTCTAACCCCTTACCCAGATTTTTAAATTTTTTTTTATGCAACTGATCTACCTCTCAAAACCCCAGTGGATTCTAGCCAGCTTACAGAATCTCTAGCTATAAATTGAACCTTGAAGGAAGAAAGGAAGCAATCTGTACAGACCTCCTCCTGCATGCCACATTCAAGGAGCATCGTGACACAGGCCTCAATAGGGAAGGCAATCTCCCGGCCACTGACAGCAAGATGTTCCTCTAAGGGCTTCCCAAAGGACGGCTTTTCAATCCAAGCTTCTGTAGAAGGCAGTTAAAAAAAATATATGATCAAAACAGAACAGGTTCACTACACTTGAGCTACTCAGTGTCAGTCTTCCTTCCTCCGTAGCTCTTAACAACTGCATACAGAAGGATGATAATATCAGCAACTAACTATTCATTGTGTTTCATTTATATGGCAGATCAAGATGAAGTGAAAATTTTCTGCAGTTATTTTTGCTCTTCTCCTATTTAGATCTAGATTCGGGCTTCTCAGAATTCATTTATATGTTTATATGTATTTACACTGTGGAGTCTTTGATGGTCTCTGAGCTTAGTTGTTTCTTGCAGATATTCCATTATCAAACTAGATAAAATAATCAGGGCTAGATGAGTTTGCTCTCATTTCAAATACTAGTGGTTTGCCCTGTCATGTACGGTCATTGTAGCATCCTTGTGTCACCTGACTGCAATTTGGGCACTTCATGACTAGTGGGTGTAAACATATTCCAATGTCATGTGATTGCCATTTATGTGCTTCACAAGCAAATCAATGGAAAAGCTGGCAGCAAAATCACAGATTGTGATGTCTTGCTTAATGACCAATGGTAATTCACAATCATAGCAAAAGTGAGATTGAAAGTGTCTGTCATGGTCATGAGATGTCTCCCTTAATGTCTGTGTTGCTTAGTGGTCATTAGACTAAGACTATCTGTCAATCCCATTGAGTCCTTGCATTTTAGAATAAGGTGGTGGAAATCAGTCTCAAATAATAATATATCATTTTGGGTATTCTGACTGGATAGTCTTATTAACTGGATGTGATTATTATTCAGTCTCTAACTTGGTAAATAAGTCAGCAATAGCAGAGTGGAAGTTTATGGATTTTATGCTTAGCAGAGAACTGAATCACCCTGAGAGAAAAGACAGGAGTCACGCTGCCTGAACAAATAGTCCATAATGTGTCTTGTACATAGTGGCAACCGGAGAAGCACCATCCATACTTACCTTGCTGTGCTTTGATCTGAGGCAACACATTCTGCAAAAGTGCTAATGACTTTCTGTGGTATTCTGCTTGCACTTCTATTAACTGGGAGAAAAATAAAATGGGACGTAGGCTGTAAGAATACACGATCTGAAAGGCACCATGGTATTACAAAGAGGAGGGGAAGGAAGCCAAAGAGGGACAAAGATGCTAAAAGCTAGGCTTTCTGGTACTTACTGTTTGAAAGTAGTTTGCATAGTCTATCTCTTTGGCCACAAAATTGTACATGTCAGCTGAGAGCTGATCCTGCAGGAAGCAGAAAAAAAAAGCACCGATTCAAACTCAAAACACCTGAAATGTTGCTAAGTTAAAAATATATCAATAAAAGCAGGGCAATGCTAATCGTACTGCAATTTACAGTGCTGATATTCCTTTTATTTATCTGTTTGAGACAAATCAGCAAATACACAAAAATACCATTTCCTGACTGATTATGTGCCATCCCAGACACCAGATTTACATGTATAATAAAAGATGGATTTGCAGCTACTTTCTGGCCACTGCCTGGAAGTCAATTGACTAGAATGAAAAGTGGGAGGGGAGATACCCTGCAAATCTCCACTCTGTTTGCTGCCTCCTCCATCTCTTCCCTGAGAGCATCCGCTTTGGCACCCGAAGGCTGCAAGTTGCTTGACAAACCTGAAGACTTGGCTGACTGTTGCCATCTGTAGGAGAAAGAAGAACAAAGTTGTTGGCTGTTCAGTGGGACATAGGACTTATCTTAGCATTGTTCTTTCCTGCCTTGCCAGAACAATATAAGATCATGTCACATGGAAGGGAGCATACTCTAGCTTTTCCTCTGCCATAAGCACAAGCTAATTTTAAGAGCGAAGGCACTTTTGTTAGCACAAACTGATACCGACATTTTCAAATGCTCATCCCTCAGAGGGATTTTTTTTACTCCACAGAAATGTCAGCTCAGTCTCTCAGTGATTTCAAATTTCTCCATTTTTAAGGCAATATCACAGCTCTTTCAGAAGAAGGCAAAAATACTGATTTTTGAGGAATACCAAGAAAGAAAAGCAATGTGTATATCTTCAGGCACATAGTTACTCTGTAGCTTGACTAAGGGCATAGTAACACTAGAAGGATTTTATTTATTTCCATCAGTGAAAATCTCAGCCATGAATTCCACAGCTGAAAGGTATGAAAGACAGCAATGTTTTTGGCCTTGTCAGGGCAAGGCCTCTGGCTAATAAAGGATGTTGAAGCAACCATGTCTATCTCAATGCAAATCTGAACATTAATTTTTTCCTGGTCAGTAAAGATTGAAAACCTATGGTAAAGAGAATGAAATTCTTCCTGTTCTCTTTTCTTTGGGACTTTGAAAGAAATCTTTCTGGATTAGAATAGCAGAGACAATGGAATTCTATAGATCACTATTTTAATTGACCCAGATGGTGATTATAGAATTCAATTATCTTTGCACTTTTCTAAGAATAGGAAGAGGAGATTGGGACCAATTACCGGAGACCACTTAATGACTCCATCTCTCTAGATATAAAGAGATACCTTATTCAAGTTACCTTCATCCCACCCATGTAGGGTCCATATCGCTGCATTCTGATAATGTTCTGGAAACCCCTGAAAGCTTGATTATTTTCCCAAGTCTTGGGTAGGATGGCAAGAAGACTCAGTAACATTCTGTTTTATTTTATATTCTTCTTTTTTTACTGGATCTTTGTTCTTTCATTTTATTGTGCCAGCTTTTTTATAATGTAAAAAGATTCTGTGTCCAGAATCACTGTGAGTTGGGTGTTTTTCAATCTATGCAAATAAATACATCTTTGAGGAAGCTTCTCCCTCCCCCATTTTTTTAAATTGTAAAGCCAGCAGTAAAGGATTTCCCCCTGTGCCAGAATGGCCACTGCTGACCCAAACTGAAGGCTGATGGAGAGAGAGCACACATTTGTACAATCCTGATGCATAAATGACAGGAGACAGGTCAGTCTAGCATAAAATCCATCTGGGATAGATTTTCTTTTTCAATACTGAAAGCCGCCCTAAGGAAACTTGTTCTAAAAACTAGTCCAGCAATAAAAACAGACACATGAAGCAAACAAAAGACTTGGCATTGCAAAGGCAACTGAGAAAAAAAGAAGTCTCTTACCTTGTCCTTGATGAATCCATGTCCAGAACTAATTTTGCTAAGTGCTTCCTCTGTTTTTGAATATTTGGGATTTCTACCTGTAGTAATATTTTTAGTTTTAAAAAAAGAAGGGTTTAAAAAAAGAATAAGACTGCATTGCAAATTTTATGTACTGAACTTAAATGGCATCATAGTAAATGTGCAGGCCTAGCATTACAGCCAATGTCAGAACCATGGACAGCTCCTATCCTATGAGAACACTCACATGGCCAGCAAGAGAACTTGCCACCATCACCTTCTGAATAGCCACTGGGGTTTAAGGAACAAAGCTGGAAGGAAAAGAAGTCTCCACCTAGAACAGTTTTACAATATGGTATTTTCCACATGTGTGGCATTCTGGTAATCATAAAACACAAGTAGGTGACTATATATCCTGAAAACTCTCAGAACCCTTTGCTTAAAACATCCTAAGAGCACAAGGAAAGATGTGTGGGGGCACAGAAGAGACACTTGTAGCTCTGCAATTCCTGTCCCACAGTACTAGTCACAGAGAAAAATTAATAGAATTTCACATACATATGTATATATGAATGAAAGAAACCTGGATTGTATAGGCAGTTCTTGGTCAATGACTGGCCTATTTAGCAATGGTTTTAATTTATGATGATGCAGAAAATGTAGTTTTATGAATGGTTCTCATACTCATGACAATCATAGCATTCCTATGGGCACATGATTGAGATCTGGTCGCTTCACAAGTGGCAGGGGTTTACAATGGTCACAGCGGGTGTCACACAGTCACCTAATTACCATTTGCAAGCTTCACCGGCAACTTTTGACAGGCAAAGTAAATGGAAAAACCAGCAGGAAGTCACAAGTTACAGTCATGTGATGTTACTTTTAATGACCACAGGTGATTTAAGCAGAATCACAGAATATGTAAGTGTGGTGCAGGGATGTGATATTTCACTTAATGACCATGTTGCTTAGAATGTAGTTGCCTCTCTCAACTGTGGTCATTAAATAAAGACTACCAGTATTTATTTATGTTTTCTGCAGATAAATCCAGAAGTAATTAAACCAGACCGTATCTCTATAAATAAACAGGAAACAAACTGTGAATACTCTCTCTGCTTAGTTCCTCTGTGAAGTACCTTGTAGATGATATAAGCCCTAAACAGATGCTCACTTCTGGCTCTTATACTCACAGTGATAAACATGGCTCATTTAGTACTTGAACACCAGGATAGGATCAGATGCATTTTTCCTACTTGGTGGTGGATTTAAACCTTGTTAGTTCCTTTCATTTTGTTGATATATTGCTTCCTTTCACTCCAGTATCCAAACTCCAGTATCCAAGGCCAGAGGCCACAAGTTTTTGACTAGAAACAGATTCTGAAATCCCTCCTATTCTCAGATCTGCTAGAGAACCACTCCCATTTATACCAAACCTCTCCCTAAAAGACCCAGGTCAGAAATTCACTTTGAAGTAAGCAACTCTTACCTCCGCCAACACAAACAGTGGCTCTATCACATCCCTTTCAACTTGCAGCTCAAAGTGGATGAGCTCTTGAGCTAGCTTGTCTTCTGCTTCTCCACATAATTTCAGCATCTTCCTGCAAGGAGAACAGGCAGCTCTCAAGGGAGAAAGCAAGCAATAGATTAAGACAGCACTTGATCCAAGAGATGTTCCTTACAGGCAGGGCAGGGCAGATGTTTAATGTTGCTTAGAGTCACCTGAATCATGACATGGGCATCAAATGAATCTGACAAACAAAGAAACAAACAGTGTGCCATTCTTTAGACTCAGAAGGTTGCAGAGCAAGAAGGCTTCTATGGCTTGTCACATTTGGGATTTTACTAGACATTTTTCCACTGAAAAGTCACTTTCAGTGATAAATAAATAACCAGTAAAAATCGTGGATGGTAAGAAATGGCTACATGCTGTTCCAGCTTCATGCTCTGATTTATCCCTCGATTTATTTGACTTGAGGTTGCATGTTGGAGATCGATCATAATGGATCGTCAAGTCCTAAGCTAAAGAGGTCTGTAGGAAAAACAATGGCTTATTTACAATTAGTAGAGGCAATTCAAATGGGCGGAAGGGTAAATTATTTATCAACAAACACTGTATTTGTGGCTTTAATATCCTCCCCCACCATATGTGATGATTTGTGCTTGTGAGTGCCTCCCCTTTTATGAGGAAAAGCTGGAAGTGAGGCTCATAAAATTAAACATTTCAACCTTACCACAAGCACTCAACGTGTTTTTCAAATGAACCAATTCCCCAAATGGAGAAACGTCATTGTGATTGAAACACCTTCCTAGCTTCTCCCTTCCCAAAGTGGTAGCTGTTCCACAGACACAGGACTGGAATCTTACCCAAGCAGGCAGTCATCTCCTAGGATAGCAGAACCCTCCATCAAGCACTGAGCAAGTGACGTCAAAGGCAATTTCTTCTGCAACAAAAGCAACTGTTGTATGATTTATTTTAAATAAAAAAAAGATCAATGACATCCCAGCCTTTTCATCTCTTGTTCAGAAAACAACTCTACTTTCAAAGAACCAGTACTTCGAACCATTCACTTCCCACCATATTCTTGGAAAATTCATGCATATACATGAAAGGGGAAAGTCCCCTGAAGGGATATTTGCATCTTAATTCCTCTGCCTTTTCTTTTCAGGGTAAAAGAACCCTATTCCCTGATACAGGGGATACCAGGATCTCTCACCGAGCGCTTATCAGAATCTGATCCCTGCTGCCCCTGAAGACATGCCGTCAGCTTCTTATGCGTGCTGTGGGAGACCTGCTTCACCAGCTCCAAACGCTTCTCCACCTGTGGATGGACATCTCACATATCACATCAGAAAAATGCATCCTCATCTCCCAGCATGCAACTCTCCTCAAGGTAAATCCTCTTCCTCAAGGTAAACTGCTCCTCAAAGTAAATCCAGGCTATGCATGGACAATTCTTACAGACGTTTTCATAATTCAGTTACAATTTGCTTTCTGAAACAGGCTCTTTTTATAGCATGCTGAACTGTGCAAAAGGAGAGAATATATTCCATTACTCCTTAACACAAGCATAACTTTAATATCTAGACCTAGTATTATGTTAGGCCATAATGTGGTATGCGTGACTGGGTACATCCTGATTTAAAGAAGCTGGGCAGAGTTTGTAGCTTACTGATTGCAACAGATAAGCAAAAGTAGGCATATGTGGCTTCTTTGTGATTTCTTAGCTTATTCTTTGTTTGTTGCTGTAATTGACTCAACCACCTGATTAGTCTATAGAGGTATGAGGGAAGATCAGTTTTTTAAAAGGAAAAATACTGATAAGACCAGTATCAACAAACAAGCAGTGACGGCCATAGTTATTTTCCATATTGATTTATTGAGAAACCTATGAATCTTACATTAAAACAACTGTGTTTTTGCATGAATTGTAGCACTTAGCATGAATAGTGCATTTGCTTTTTATATCCCAATAATATATAAACTATTGCAGTTAGTAAACTAATTCAACAGGAAACAAGGAGACAATTATTTTAGCATTCATTTTAATTAAATGTATTAAAATAGAATTTAAACGTTGTTAGCCTAAATAAATTTGTACTATCCCAATAATAGTTTCTCTCTCAATCAACAGAGTCATAAAAGGTAAGTTATAGAATGATTTATGAGGGCTCAGGGGCAGTAGATAAATCCTGGGGAGAAGTAAATCTGGCTTGAGGTTAATTAAAGTTATAATCAGGCCTAGACTTTGGAAAACCAAGAATGTTACCGCTATTTTTCACTTTATATTTTGCACTGAAACATAAATATCAGTACAATTAGATGTACCTTTTGTCAAGTATGATGGAAAATCAAATGTAAATAACATTCAAAGGGATGAAGCCACTTGATATATGTGAACTTTGTATTTTCAGGTATTTTACTGAATTATATTTCTAAAATGAGAGTCAATACTTTGTGTATCTCAAGTAGACTGTGCACTAAAAACAGATCTAAAATCTAATTAGAGCAACAATGATTGTTCAGGTCCCTTGGAGAATTAGCTAAGAAAGTGTGGTTTGATAGAAATTACATACTATGACAAATCTCAACAAATAACTATGAAGGTGGAAGGAACTACAATGGGTATTTGCTAATGGTTATCTTCAAGGACTATCTATCCAGCCTACATGATTAGGCAGCATTGTGATGCTTAAGGTCCTATCCATTAAGATGGAATCTGAGAAGCAGAACTTGCCCTCTGGAACACACACACATACACACACACACACGCACACACTCACTTTGCATCAAGATACACCTGGATTTCTGGCCATGTTCAAAATAATTCTAAAAATGTGCATATGAGTATTGCATGTTAGATTATCTTTTAATGGTTGCTTTTCCTCTGCCATTTTGTTTTGGTTTTAGTTGTACTGCAATTTTTGCTGTATAGACTTCTTGTAGGGTGTAAATGGCTGTATACCTTTAATAGATAAATAGGTAAATAAATAAATAAATAGATCTGAAAGACAGTTTTCATGTCTTAGTCCTCAAGTAATAAATGAGTCAGGCAGATATACTTTTAAAAGTATTTGACAGGGCAGAGGGCCAGTGCATTGAAATATGAGCAATCTTTTGTGTAAAGCTAACCTAGATAATGTAGACATAAAAATTAGACTTAGGTCAGCCGTACAACTCATTAAATAAAAATTAGGTTGGTTATATATCCTCAAGTTGTTCCTACTGGCCATCTGTTTTATATTTAGAATATAAGAGCATAAGGCCTAGGCAGAACATATACAAGTAGCTATCACAATGGCAGGAGTCACAGATGTCCATGAGACAAAAATGGACTTGATTGCATTTATATTGTGTGATCCAGCCTACACATAAATACCTAATATTTGGAAGGTGTTTTTTTTTTTTTTTGAAGTAGCTTTCCCCAAAACAATGTCCTTCAAAACCTTTGGACAAGAATATCTATACTCTCAGCCAGCATGGCCATTAGCCAAGTTGGTTGGAGCTGATGGAAGATCAATTCCAAAACTTTTGGAGGCTACCATACTTGGAAAGGCAGCTCTACAGCCTAATTTAGGCTCAGGCCAATCCCATGTTAGAAACGTAATATATTTTCATATATCTTCCCAATGACTGAATCTAATTGATCCTGACACAGAAACCATTATCTTGATTAGAGGCATATTTCAGACATCTTTTCTATAAACAAAATTCAGCAACATATTCAGTGAGTCTGCTCTGGAGTTAATCTTTCTGAAAATAGCATTCACTAGAAAGATAATGACTGGTCAAAAAGTATATTCACATTTAGCAGAATGATTTTTTAAAAAATTAAAAAACATAATTTAATATTGTCTACTTAATCGCTTTCTAACTGAAATAGAGTTCAAACACATAACAGTCGAGTCTTTTTAAAAAAATAAATAATTAGAGACCTTTCCCTTAAAACATCAACTTTATTCCTGATACCTTTGTCATTCTTGGTCCCAATAAATTCTATCTAGAAGACTGTTTTTTTTTTTCATGTGTGGCAAATGTCAGTATCAAACAGTGGCAACCATAAGGTATCAGGGAAAAAAACAGCATAGTACCTGCAAAAGATCTTCATTCAAAACTTCTGTTTTCTCAGCCCTAAAACAAACAAACAAACAAAAACCCCATAGTAATCCAATATGACACAATGAATAGTTCATCACAATTTAAAAGTGAAATTTGAAATATAGTTGCATAAACTCTTCCACACATTAAGATTTCAAGACATTGACTGAGGGCCACCCAGATGGGTGGTTATATAAAAGTTTTAAATAAATAAATGCATATATTGCTAAAACATTTCGATTTTTAACATTAATCTGGAAATCTGGCCCTTAAAGAAATTTGAATTGAATAAACATTTAGGACTGTTTTTTAAAGGAATACATGGACACAAAAAAGAGTGCTTTTGCTGTTACACGACTATCATTCTTCAGAAGTAATATCTGAATGTTAATTTTGCAGATCAAATACCACTTTCGAGTTCAAAGACACCTACAAATTGGATGTTAAATTCCAAGAGCAATCTGTTCTGGTTTAAATTGTGATATTTGTCTGAGTATATATTGGGATTCATTTTAAATATTACTGTTGCTTTTGCTTCAATAAAAAAAGACTATTAATTAAATCTTTATCTTTTGCTTGAACAAATATAACTATTTAGTGGATTGAATCAACAATCCCTAATTTACTCCACCAATCTGTCTTCTAATATAGCCAGGCAAGTGTCCTTGGAATGATTCCAAATTGAAGAACTGTTACCAGATTTAGAAATTCTCAATATATATTTACCTCTGTACATTCCTAGGTATCATGGTTAATAGTCACTGAGATGTATTGTTCCATAACTATATTCAATATTTATATCTAAGTCAACATGACTTTTTTGGTAGAAAATCTTTACATTAATGTATGTGGGCAAATGTTTGGGTAAACTGGTTTCTGGTGAAAAAAAATGTATATTTATGTATTGATTTTAAAACCTTGAAGTTGTCTCCTCATTTAGCTTTTCTCATATAAGAAGCCCTAAGTATATGCACCTTTCAGTGTGCAAACATTAATAAAATAATCTATTGCGCTGTCCACCTTCTCTAGCTCACGCTTTCCCATTCTCCATCTTAGTACCTTGATTTTCAATCTATTGAAAAAAAGTAATGCACTGATATTTGATCAAACTTAAATAATAAAATCCTCACTGCAAGTCAAGTTAAGTTTAGGTAATTGAAATATTTTTCTCCTGTCTTTCAGGGTCTGAAATAGTTCCTTTCTCATATTTTTTTAAATAATAATAAATAAAAAAAATTATTCTTTATTTCTAGATCACTACTTATAACTTTCCAACAGAGGTCTTCCTTCTCAAGCTATTACAACATATTAAGCTTTATGGTTAACTGAAAAATCTGAAGACCTCATACTTTTGCATGAATAAAGATCCATTACCCGATTGAAAGCTTTCTAAACACCTTATGGCAATTCTCTCTTTAACAGCTGGGATGAGTAGGCATATTTTCTTCAAATAGAAGTGTTATATATTAATGTTTGCCAAATTCAAAAGTACTTTTTATCCCCTTCTCTCACACCACCAAAAACCATTGGTTGTTAGCTACCCTTATTCCAGGGGGAAGCTAATTTTAACTATTAAAAAAATAGAACCAACCGAAAAATAGGCTTAAAAGATGAAAAATATCTAAAACATTGAGTCCTATATTGAGAAGTGTGCAAAATGAATTGGAGAGATTTAATGAATTAGAAAGTTTCTGGATCATTGAATTCCACCAGCATCTCTTGTTTCACTATAAGATAGAGACTGACTACTGTGATGACTACTGAAGCATGTAATCAATATATCAATGTAGTTATTACGAAAGTAATGAACTCATATTTATGACCATGTTTCCATTTTTTTAAAAG